CCAGCCGAGGTGACATCATCAGTGCTTGTGAAGCACTGATTCCCTAAGCCATTTCTTTCCGCCAAATTACATGTCTCGTAAAACGGAAACCATGAATCCCCTGGGAGCAATACGTGAGCATTTGAAAAAGTGTACCAGGCCTGGATTTGTCTCATACATCACTGAAATTTTTAATTCGAAAGACGTCACGGAATTGATTTGCCTTGGTTGCAATCTGTCTACTGCAAATCTGATTGGTCACACGCTTACGCGATGTGCTCCCTGGTCCAAGTAAGACGAGCTGCTCTGTGACACCCATTGCAGAGTAGATCACCCGGCGATTGTCTTTCTACTGCCGAAAATGGTAACAACCAACCTGAATGGATAGTGAAAACGGCTACGCATTTATTGCTAAAAAAAGTACATCTAGTGGAATTTGCCCTCGGTAAAACAGTTCTCCCAGTGAACACAACAAAATATCAAGGAGATACCAGAAAATATTTTGCCTATTCCTACGGATCTAAAAATACTACGCGTTTCTAATCACAATTAGTGAATGTATTTCAATTTTCTCACTCACTACGGTATTTTTCGTCTACGGTGATGAACATCCGTAGAAAATGCGTGTTCACATTTTCGACCGAGTGAAAGTTCACCGAGACACAGACATCACCTCTCTCGAATGTGTTCCATAAGAAGTGATAAATAATTTAGACCACCAGGAGCACGGAACCGTTGTCAAACACCGAAACGCTCCATAGCGTACCTACACAATCCTGGATAAACTTATACAGTTTTGTACAAATCACATTTCAAACCGTTACCTCGTTAGCAAGACCAGGTCAATTATAAGTGGAGTTTCGTGATTTGAACTGTGTGCGATTCTGTGCTGGTGTATGCATGTGTGCTTGTATGTGTGCGTGTTTGTGTTGCAGGTGAGTTTGATAATTTCTTAAACTGCTGCGTGCACTGGAAACAACGGTCCTGTCATTCTGGACGTACATTTTGAAGGAAAAGCACTACCCAACTGGTTGAAATAATCTCCGGCAAGAATCAGACGATTTATTCTGGTCGGAATATGACTGTCTTGTTGATGACAGATTCGTTTATTAAATTGTTTTTCCATAGTTCTGCACAGCTGTCTGCTGACAATAGGTCACGGCAAAAAGCTGCCCTGTCGATCAGATTATCTATCCTATGAAACGTGTCTCATGCAATTTGTCAATTTTACTCTCTCTATATATATTACAACGTCGGACGCCAGACTGTGCAAAACTAATCATTATACAATAATCTTTACATGAATTGCATATGGAATCAATACT